CTCTGCACTCTTTCTATAGTCTCAACATTTTATTTTATTTTTTTGTTTTGATTTATATGCCGCCCTTCTCCGAAGACTCAGGGCGGCTTACAATGCGTTAAGCAATAGCCTTCATACTTTTGTATATTTTATACAAAGTCAGCTTATTGCCCCCCACAATCTGGGTCCTCATTTTACCTACCTTAGAAAGGATGGAAGGCTGAGTCAACCTTGAGCCTGGTGAGATTTGAACTTGCAGTAATTGCAGGCAGCTGATGTTAATAACAGGGCTTTAGTCTGCTGTGCTACCAGAGCTACATTGGTTTTACATTGTGATGATCGAAGCTGGATGCCGTATTCCAAGTGTGGCTTTACCAAGGCATTATAAAGTGGTATTAACACTTCACGTGATCTTGATTCCATCCCTGTGTTAACGCAGCCTAGGATTATATTGGCTTTTTTGGTGGCTGCCGCAGAGCTGGCTCATGTTTTAAGTGATTGTCTACTAGGACTCCCAAGATCCCTCTACAATTACTGCTAATGGACCAGGTACCACCTACGCCAGGGGTCAGCAACCTGAGGCTCTGGAGCCGCATGTGGCTCTTTCACCCCTCTGCTGCGGCTCCGTCATCAAAATATGCATCACAACCGCCAATATGCGACACCCGCCAGCACGCAATTTATTGAGTTTTTCAACCCTCGGTAGGCCAACCATGGATAAATCCAAGAAAAGTTTCAGAAGAAAACAGAACATTTAAATTCCACTACATATGCTAGTTTTGTGGCCACTCAAGAAATAGGCAGGCACGGGAAGGGTTTTGTGGCTTCCGGTGTTTTCTTTTCTGTGGGAAACGGGTCCAAATTGCTCTTTTGAGTGTTTAAGGTTGCAGACCCCTGACCTATACTATACCTACATGCTGGGAGAGTAGATGTTGCTCTAAATGAAACTAGCAGAATTATTACCGGATGCCTTATATCTACCCCTGTAGAGATAAAATCTACCATCTCCCGTGTGACACCTCTCCTGCGCGAGCTGCACTGGCTCCTGGTGGTCTTCCGGGTGCGCTTCAAGGTTTTTGGTTACCACCTTTAGAGTGCTCCATGGCTCAGGACCAGGGTACTTACGAGACCGCCTTCTGCCACCAGTAGCCTCTCACCGACCAGTTCGCTCCCATAGAGAGGGGCTCCTCCGGGTGCCGTCAGCCGAGCTGTGTTGACTGGCGGCCCCCGGGGGGAGGGCCTTCTCTATCATTAAGTGTTGTACCTTATGACTCTTGACGAATGTATCTTTTCTTTTATAGACACCGAGAGCGTATGCACCACAGACTAATTCCTTGTGTGTCCAATCACCCTTGGCCAATAAAGAATTCAATTCGATGCGTCATCTCCGTTTGAAGGCCATTGAGCCAGCTCTGCTTGAAGACATTTCGGCAGTTGTGTGGCCAGCATGACGTCAAGGAGTGCTGTTCCCTTCCCACCGAAGGTGGTACCCATTTATCTACTCGCATTTGCAACTGCTTTCGAACTGCTAGGTTGGGAGGAACCGAGGCAAGGACGGGAGCTCACCCTATCGCGTGTTCAGGTCTCGAACCTCGGCTGCTGTGTTTCTAGCCGACAAGGCCAGCATCTTAACCCACTGTCTCATGAAAAAATGGGCCTATGGCAGGGATGTCAAGCTCACTGAGGGCCGCATCAGGATTGTTTTACCTCAGAGTTGTTTCAAACTCGGCGGGCTCCGAGCTCCAAAACATGCGCCGTCCTCCCAAGTTCCGTTTTCGCCGGCAGAAGCACCACTTTGCTGTTTCCAGGGCAGCCCCAGAGGCCAGATCTAAGCACCCCGCAATTGGTTAAGTGAATTACTGCAGTTGATAACTTACTAACCCGGTTGTTAAGTGAATCTGGAAAGTTCAAAGGTCAGAATGGTGAAAAACAGTCATCAGTCACATTTTTCAGTGCCGTCGTAACTTTGAAAGGTCCCTCAACAAACTGTTGTACATCGAGAACTACCTGTGTTTTAATCTTGTATTTTATATTTTAAGCTTTATGTCCTATCGTATGCTTTATTTCAACTGTGATGTTTCTGACACGAAAGAAAAAGCCAAGCACGGGTAGTCCTAGACTTACGACGGTCCATTTAGTGACCGTTCAAAGTTACGACAGCTCTGAAAGAAATGATTTATGGCTGTTTTTCACACTTATGACCATTGCAACATCCTCCTGGTCACATGATTGAAATTCAGACACTTCAAAATTCAGGCCCTCGGCAACTGACTTGTATTTATGACGGTGTATTGCAGTGTCCCGGAGTCATGTGATCATTTGGGGGGACCTTCTGACAAGCAAAAGTCAATGTGGAAGCCAGATTCACTTAACAACTTTGTTACTAACTTATATAACGGCAGTGATTCACTTAATGACATAGGCAAAAAAAAACCTCATACGATGGGGCAAAGTTACACTTAACAAACGTCTCACTTAGCAACAGAAATTTCAGGCTCAATTGTGGTTGTAAGTCGAGGACTATCTATAGAATCTTCATTTTCCAAAGTAGCGTCTCCCCAAGTCGTACAATGAGGAGGGGTCCATCTCCAAACTCCCCTGGCTATCCCCTCCAGAAACCAGGACCCCCAATGATGCTCGAATCCGACCAAACCCCAAACAGACCCTTGTGTTTGCACACCAGGGAAAACGAGAAGCTAAATTGAAATATTTCCTTTTATTTATTTAACAAACACTATCTTGAGTTCTGAAGAATGTGTGAAGAAAGAAAGAAAGAAAGAAAGAAAGAAAGAAAGAAAGAAAGAAAGAAAGAAAAAACTTTTTTGCTTTACAAATGAAAAAAAAAACGGGAGGAAAGGAAGAACGAGAAGAAGCTAAAGGAAGGATTAAGTTTTTTAAAAAATTAAACAACCAACAACGTATGTACAGACTGAAAAAACTTTGCTGAGCTAAAGAGGGAGAGAGAGAGAGAAAGAGAGAGAGTGAAAAATAAAAACAGAAAAAGGAGGAGAAAAAGTCTCAGCAGTGACGGGCTCAGAAGGAGAAATCAAAGGGAAGAAGTTTTAACGCGCAATTAAATTAAAAATACAAACACCGAGAGAAGGAAAATCCTATGTCCTACTTGGTGGCTGTAGAAGCAATCTATACAAGAAAAATTCTGCTCAGGCCCTTTTTTTCCCCTGGGCCGGAACGACAGTGTTGTGATGCGTTTTTAAAACAGAGCAAACATATTGCTTAACTTTTGAGATGTTTTGACTGTAAAAATATTAGTTGGTGGGAGCCAGGGATGGGAGGACAATGGAGCAATGGAAAGGGACAGGAAAGTCCAAGGAAGGACCGGTTTTTGTTTTTTTCTTTCCTTCATCAGTCTTTCCTCATCTGGACTTTGGGAAGGAAGGAAGGAAGGAAGGAAGGAAGGAAGGAAGGAAGGAAGGAAGGAAGGAAAGGAGGGAGGGAGGGAGGGAGGGAGGGAGGAACTTTAGGCTTGGTGCTGCATATCCCAGGGGCTCTTTAAAAGTTCGTCAGAGGGCTTAGCTCCTTTTTATTGGTGGGGGGGGAGTGAGAGATAGCCCAAGGCAAGGGGGTAAATTCGCCACAAATCAGCGGGCTTAGCAAGATGTCCCTTCTCCATCTCCTCCAACCCCCCCCCAACCTTTAGAGCATGCTTTTTAAAAAATCCGATGCATTTCTCCTACCAAAATGCATCTCAAAGGCGGGTTAAAACCAAGTGAGACAATACACTTTTTCCCTGGGGGGGGAGGAAGAGGAGACAGCCCCCCACCCCCAAACAAAGGAAACGGGGAGATGACTGAACACTGAATAAAAATGAAGACCTGGTCCAGAACCTATTGCAGCTGGACAGGAGGAAACACAAAGAGAGAGAGAGAGAGAGAAGGCATGGCATCTTTTAAAACCAGACCACCAAAAAATAAAAGAGAGAAATAAAAAAACTGCAGAAAAGAGGGGCCAGACTAAAATCATTTCCCGGTTCAGTTTTGCAGAGGGAGCAAGATCGGCCATCCTCTGCGTTCCTCTGTTTGGCCCCCTACCACCCTGGGGAAGGAGGCGGGGAGACCCACCCCCTTGCTAGAGGAGTAAATGGGGATACCATGTGTTGGAGGAGGAGGAGGAGGAGGGAGGGGTTCAACAGGGGAAGCTCTCCTCCCTCGCCACCAATACGATCCGAAGGAAGCTGGGTCGTTTCACCAGGCCAGGCGGAGAAGGGATGTCTCCAAAGGGGCGCAAACACACAAGAGGGAGACACACAAGCAGGATGAGACACACAAGTATCAAAACAGCTGGAAGTCCAGAGGCATTTTTTTTAAAAGAAAAAAAAAAGCAAAGACAGTCACTGGCATGCCGTGTCCCTCCCTCCCCCCGCAGCCACCCCCAGCTCGGCTCCGCACCGTGTGGTGTTGTTTTTTTTGTCCGTGACTGACCTACACCTGAATTTTTTTTATTTCTATTTTTCTTTTTTTTTTAAAACCGAGGTAGTTGGCTAGAAACCAAAAAAAACAAAAACAAAAAGAGAGAGTGAGAGAGTTCCTCCACCTGGCATTTTTGTCCAGAAGGCCCACCTCGCTCGTCCGTCCTCACCCAGAGAGGGCAACGAGACCCTCTCACCGTGCCCGGCTGACGGGAGGACAGGCCCGTCCTATTTTTTTCCGTCTTCCAAAACACACTGAGTTATTGCACTTCGAAAAAAAAAAAAAAGGAAAAAGGAAAAAAAAAATACCAAAGGGAAAAAAAAAACCCGACGATTCGTGGTTTGAGCCCTTCCCCTCGTTCAGCAACACCCGTGTTCCCCATCCCTCCCCGCAACCTGGTTTCCAACTCTCCTCTTCTGCGTTTTCCATCCCACCCCCCCACCCACCCGCCCAAATGGCTTCTGTTCAACTTAAAAAAAAATAATAATAAACAGTTGCTCGTCGCTATGCTAGAATTCTACGATATTTTCATAAGAGGCTAAAAAAGAAAAGAAAAGAAAAAAAAAAAAGTTCCGGTTGGTTTTTTTTTTTCCCTTTCTTTCTTTACATGAGGTTCTCTCCGGGAAAAAGGGAGACCCGCCGAGACGATTCGGTGCGGAAACGTCCGTGGTGGGGTTTTCTCCCCTTCCCAACCTTCCGTCTCCTTTCAGTTCCCACCAGCCCCGTTACCTTCCATCCCGACGGGTATCAGAAAAACCTGGATCTCTCTCGCTGGGTTTTATAAACCTTTCCAGCTGACTTAAGGATGAGAAGAAGTAACACCCTTCCACCCGGTCCGGTGGGGTGGGGGTATTTTTGAGGGGGGGGGGGGGCCGGGGGGGGAGAGAGAAAGAGAGAGCAAAAAGAGAGAGAGAAAGAGAGTCAGGAATGGTTATTGAACAAGGCTGATGGAACATAAAGAAGAAGGAAAAAAAAAGAAGAAAAAGACATAAACGTGACTTTGGACACCCGTGAAAAGTCCTGGCAACTGACCGGTAGCGGAATCAGTTCTCACCGGCCAGGTTTAACCAGAAAGCAAGGGGCGTTGGGGAGAACGACAACGGACGCTCGGGAAGAAGAGAGAGAGAGTCGGTGGCCATTCCCAAAGGGTTGCGTGCAGGACAGGCGTGCCCCCCACCCCACCCCACTCCGCCACTCCCGGTCACGTCCAAAGGCGGTTCAAAAGCTGAACCGAAGGCGGAGAGACGACGAGGCGTTAGGTTGCGAGGTGATGGTGGTCGGAGAGGGGAGGGGGTGTCTTTCAGCCATGCATCAGCGCTCATCCAGATGGGTCTGTTTCTTTCCGATAAAAACAAAGTCATGGTTTTTTTTTAAACTTGGAATAATCTCGGGAAGTCCAAGGATGCTTTGGAGGAGGAGAAGGTGAAAGATTGGGTGGGTGGGTGGGGGGATAAGATACCCCGCCCCGTCCCGTTTAATCTGAGTAAGCACCGAGGATTTCAAGCTTTCCCACGTGGAAGTGACCCGGTGCCGCCGGCGGTCAGCAGGCGGAGGCGAGGCCGTTCTTATACAGGCGGGGGACTTTCCTCTTGGGCCCGCCACCGTTGTCGTCTTCCTCCTCCTCCTCTTCCTCGTCTTCCGAGGACGAGCTGTCCAGTGTCAAATCGACCACGTCGGCTGGGATCTTACCGTTCTCCATGCTGGGGGCGGGAGGGGGCACCCCGTTGACATCCGACGTGCCCCCTGGAAATGTACGAGGAGAAAGTAAACATTTAGTGGGTAGCCCTCGACCGAACGGCCGTTCGCTCAGTGACCATGCAAAGTTACAATGGCACTGACAAAAAAGGGACTTAGGACCGGGGGTTCCCCCCCTCCCCCCGCTTACAATTGCTGAGGTATGTCCGTGGTCCCATGATTGAAATTCAGATCTTTGACAACTGACTCATATTTATGACGGTCCCAGTGTCATGGGATCCCCTTTTGCGACCTTCTGACAACCAATGGAGGAGTCTGATTCACTTAAGTTACTAAGTGGGTTACTAGCTTAATAGATGCAGTGACTCACTTAACAACCGGGGTGAGTAAGATGGGGAAGATTCATTTAACGAATGTCTCACTTAGTGAGACATTCTTAGTGAGACATGGCTTAGGATCTGGTTACTTACGGGACCGCCTGCTGCCACCAGTAGCCTCCCACCGGCCGGTACGCTCTCATAGAGAGGGGCTACTCCGGGTGCCGTCGGCCAAACAATGTCGACTGGCGGCCCCCAGGGGGAGAGCCTTCTCTGTGAGGGCACCTGCTATCTGGAATGAGCTCCCCCCGGAGATACGGAGGATCCCGGATCTACGTAGCTTCTGCCGCGCTCTATAAAGATCTTTTTATTCCATCAGGCTGGCCTGGCCTAACTGTTTCCCCTTTTTCCCTTTTTAAAACATAAATTTCAATTCGTTTTTAATTTATTGGGGTGTTTTAAATCTGTCTTCGGCCAAATTGTTTAATTCGATTTTATTCAGTTTTAAATTTTGTATTTATGTTTTTTATCCTGTGGCTGTTCACCGCCCTGAGTCCTTCGGGAGTAGGGCGGTATACAAATCAAATAAAATTAAACTAAAACTAAACTAAACTGGAGCCTTGATAGTACAGTGGTCTACGCACCCTGTTATTAACACAGCTGCCTGCAATTTACTGCTGGTTCGAATCTCGCCAGGCTCAAGGTCGACTCAGCCTTCCATCCTTTCTAAGGTAGGTAAAATGAGGACCCAGATTGTGGGGGCAATAAACTGACTTTGTATAAAATATACAAAAGTATGAAGGCTATTGCTTAACGCATTGTAAGCCGCCCTGAGTCTCCGGAGAAGGGCGGCATATAAATCAAATAAATAAATAAATAAATAAAAATAAACTAAACTAAACTAAACTAGTGACAGAAATCTTGGGCTCGTAAATCAAGGACTACCTGTGCCCATGTTTCTCAAACTTGGTGCCAACTTGGTATCGGAACCCTGACACTTGGCCACTTTTAAGACGGGTGAACGTCTGAAGGCAAGTCGTTCCACCGATTAATTGTTCATTAATTGTTAAGATGGTAGGAGCCAATGTCAATGGTATTGTCAGCTTTGGAAGCCATATTAGGCCGGAAGCTTAAATGGTGCCATCTTCTCGTGTGTGGGAAAGTAGGAGGGGGGATTAAGGAGAGGGGTTGTTAGTAGACGTAATAGCATTCTTCCTGCCGGTCAAGGTCAGGGCGATCCAGCATCTGGAGAAGGAGTGGTCAGGGGGCCGGATCGAGATGGAACTGATGTTGATTGGAGCATGTGATCGACTGGGGAGAAAGGGGATGGTTTGGGGAGTTTTGACTTACTGAGGGAAAACCCGGCGGGTTTTCCCAGATGTGCCAGTTTGCCTATTCTAGTAAAGAGAACTTTGGAAAAATGTTTGCTTCCGCGTCTTTACTTGGAGTTGGCGTTTTTCTGGAACGCTGGCAGATATCAAGGAGGACATAGTTTTGGACAATACCACACAAGTTGGAATCAACTAGGGGAGATGACTCTGGTGGTCCTTTGGCCTTCCTGATTTGGGTAGAGTCCACGACCGCCGTGACTTTTGAGACCCACCTGTGGATCCGCCCACGACGAGTATCGGACACTGAGGGCTGTAGCTCCTTTCCTTCTCGGCTTTGATCGGGCGCCAGGAGCCATCCACCAAGTACTCTATCTCGTCTGCGTCTTCACATTCCTTTAAGATCTTCGATAGGAGCCTAAAGAGAGATGGGGAACCCAGCTGGTGATTTCAGACTCCAGAAGCTTCAGGGCTTCCCAGGAATGGCTTCCATCTCAGAGGGGTTTCAGGAAATGGTCAGGACCATACCTGAAGGCAGAGAGGTCACCAAGCCAAGGCTTACCAGATACCAAAGCATCCGACTGCCTGCTCCACTCAAAACCAGGAGCCAACTTAAAATTTTAATCAACGATTACAATTTTAAATTCCTGCAGAAGAATATTAAAGATCTTGGTAAACGTCAAGGACAGATCACCAAAGTTTTGTGAGATGTGGCGATTCTCTAGGGCAGGGATCTCCAACCTTGGCAACTTTAAGACTTGTGGACTTCAACTCCCAGAGTTCCTCAGCCAGCAAAGTTGGCTGAGGAATTCTGGGAGTTGAAGTCCACAAGTCTTAAAGTTGCCTAGGTTGGAGACCCCTGCTGTTGGGAAGCGGTTCCCAACCTCAACCTTTCTGGATCCAGTGACCGGTTTCGGAAGAAAAGTAGTCTTCCATGGACGGGAGGAAGGGGAATAGGGTTTTCACACCCAATGTCAACTCTGAAGCTGGCCTATCTGAGGCCATCTTGGAGGCTTCAGAGTTGCCACAACGGTGCTGAGGGATAAGGGAGGGGGGGAATAGAGATACCTGGGGTTTTGTAGCCAAAACAAAATAGTTTCCTCTGAGAACCAAGGACGTTCCCACAGGCTGAAGAGAGGAGGAGGTGTCGTTACCAAGCAACAGGACAGCGCCTTGATTGGACCATGTGACTGTGTCAGACCTGGAAACCAACTTTCTACCTTTGGGCCTTCAGGCTTCAGGCCTGCCACAATTCCTACTGTGGAAAATTGGGAGTGGGGGGGGGGAATTGCATAGAGCTGTGATGGCGACCCTATGGCACGCGTGCCACAGATGGCATGCAAAGCCATATCTATGGGCACACGAGCGTTCCCTTAGCTCAACTGCAGCGCGCATGCGCACACCGGCCTGATTTTCGGGTCTTCTGGGCCCACTGGAAGTTGGGAAATGGGCCGTTTCCGGCCTCCAGAGGGCCTCTGGGAGGGGGGGAGGCCATTTCCGCCCTCCCCAGGCTCCAAGGAAGCTTCTGGAGCCTGGGGAGGGCGAAAAACGGGCATAGAAGGAAGACGATACGTAGTCACAATAAAATTCCTTATAGAAAATCAAGGCCGTTGTGCCCTGCAGCTGTGCTGAGAGGAATGAGGAGGTATCGTCTGTTCTGGACGGTACCTGGTTGGCTTTGTGGTGGACATGTGGGAGAGGGGCAAGGTTCTTGAACTTTCTTTTGGGTGTGGAAAACCCGGAAGCTCTCAGATTCGGGTTTTCCCAGATGTGCCAATATGACATCTCCAATAAAAGTTAGCTTTGAGGAACTTCAAGCCTCGGAGTTTGATTTCGTTGGGGGTGTTACTTGGAACCCGGACATTCTAATTGTTTGGGACAGGGGTGAAATTAAAATTTGTTACTACCGTTCTGTGGGCGTGGCTTGGTGGTGGGGTAATGTGACTGGGTGGGTGTGGCCAACTTTTTTTTTTTTTTTAACTTTTCAAAGTATTTTTTCTAATGCTCTGAAAAGCCTCTGCTGATCAGGCAACTCAGCTGGGATCGTCAGAGACTTTTCAAAGCATTTTTTTTACCGCCTCCTCGGCCAAGAGGTTGCAGAAAAAAAATGCTTGGAAAAGCCTCTGAGGATCCCAGCTGAGCCGCGCGATCGTCAGAGCCTTTTTTTTTTTACTTTTAAAAGTATTTTTTCGTCGGAAGAGGTTGTAGAAAAAATGCTTTTAAAAGTAAAAAAAAAAAAAAAAGCCTTTGATGATCGTGCGGCTCAGCTGGGCATGGGGAGGGGCGCAGGGATTTTTGCTACCGGTTCTCCGAACCACCTGCCGCCATCGGTACCGGATCGGGCGATCCGGTATGAACCGGGAGCATTTCACCCCTGGTTTGGGAAAGGGGGAATAACTTTTACTTTTAATTAGGTGAAAACCGCGGGAACCTTTAAGAGTCGGTTTTCATCAGCCTGTGCCAATATGGTATGTCCAATAAATCTGTTCTCTGAAGAACCTGCTTGCCTCGGAGTTCTGCTTGCTATGGGCGTATTACTTGGAACCCTGACACACGGAACCTATCATGTTTCCCTGAAAATAAGACCCTGTCTTATATTTTTTTCCACCAAAAAAAAAAAAGGCACCAGGTCTTATTTTCGGGGGGTGGGCAGCCACTTGTATATAACAGAGAGCAAACCCCACCCCCTTCTAGCACTGATGATGTTACCTAGTTGGGTCATGAAACATCTGCAAGAACACAACTAACGTTGTGACCCCGACTCCCGAGCCTGTCCTGACAGAGGAGGAGGATTCAGAAGGTGATGGGGAGGAACTGACAAGGCCTCCCTCTCCAGGACCCTCCTCTCTGGCAATGCCTCAGGTTCCATCCGAAGGCCAGGAGGAACAGCCTGGGATGTGCCAGGAGGAAGGCATATCGGAGCACCAATTGATAGGGAGCGAGGAGGATGAATCCTGGCTTGATCCCAGGCAGCATCGGAGGGAGAAGCGTGCGCAGCAACGGAAGAGGCATGGAAGGGCCAGAGATTGAGCTGAGTCACGGAGCCACGCCCCACCAGGAATAAAAGTGGGTGGGATGGCTCTTCAGGCTTTGTGACGGACAAAGTTAAACCCTGCAAGTCACATCGTGATCTCTGAAATTCGGCTTGGATATATTTTGGACTAAACTCTTGTCTCGTGGATAATTTGTTGCTCCTGGAACGGACTGAAGATAAGTCCTCTTCTGCTTTATGGGTGTGAAAATGGCCTTGGCAGGCATTCGGCAGTTTGTTGCCAAAACCTTTGTCTGCCAGGAATTCTAATCTGTTAACCTAATAAAATATTGGCAGGCGTGCTTGGTATTATGTTTGCCTGTGTGAGGAAGGGGGACAGAACAACTAAGCTCAGAGAGCACTAAGGACCCCCCCCACAAAGTTTCTTGGCCCTCCTGCGATTCCTGTAATGAGGTGTCCTGCTTTATGTTGGCAAATAACTGACTCAACTAACCCATCGATCATCAGTTGATCATACGTGGCTGGTTTGTCACACACCGGACACATCCACGTGGGTTTCTTCTCGTTCATCTGCAGGTAGAAAACTGCATCGAAGCACTGCAGGTGGGCACACGTTTCCGCCCGACACGGTACCGACAGGCGCATCTTTACCAGCTTTGGAAGAGGAAAAAAAAAACCCGCATGAGAGCCGCAGGCAAAAAAACCGAATCTAGAATAGATACTGGTCAAATACAGAATAACAGAGTTGGAAGGGATCTAGTCCAACCCCCTGCTCAAGCAGGAGATCCTATACCGTTTCAGACAAACGGTTGTCCAGTCTCTTCTCAAAAGCCTCCAATGAGGGAGCACCCACAACTTCTGGAGGCAAGCTATTTGGTTGGAGGGAGGGAGGGAAGAATAATTGGTCAGTTTTAGGGGAGGGAGGGATAGAGGGTTGATTGGTTGGTTGTTTGGCTGGATGGATGGATGGAGAGTTGGTGGGAGGGGGAGAGAGAGAGGGAGGGTGGGTGGGAGTGAGGGATGGGTGGTTGGTTGGTTGATTGGTTGGTTGGTTGGATGGATGGAGAGTTGGTTGGTTTAGTGAGAGGGAGGGAGGGAGGGATAGGGTTGGTTAGATGAATGGGCGGTGGGAGTGAGGGATGGGCAGTTGGTTGGTTGGATGGAGAGTTGGTTGGTTAGTGGGAGGAAGTGTTGTGGTCCGCCAGCAGCCTGCAGAGCTGACAGCAGAGTCGGACAGTGAGTTGGCTGGGGAGGACAATGGGCCAGTCCTGGAGTCTGGGGAAGGCCTGGACAAGGGCTTTGAGTCAGAGGCAGAGATGGGGCCAGGGCCATCTGGGAGTGATGTGCAGACTCCAGAGCCTCCAGAGGTGGATAGCAGAGAGGCAGAGGAACAGGAGGAGCCTGTTCCTAATGCACGCATGCGCAGAGCTGCCAGAAGGCAAGCAAAAAGGACAACTTGGGAGTAAGGCCAGGAGATGATTGGCCCCTCCCAGAAGGCTTAAAAGAGCAGCAAAGGCTCTTGGGATCTTTGTAAGAAAGCAACGTTGCTACATTGGTTTCTTCTCTTGCTACATTTGTTTGTCAGCATCTCTTGCTTCTGAACTTTTGCCAAGAAAGGTCTTTGGCAGGGTGCCAAAGGAGACAAAGGTTGGTGATAAGGCTGAAGGACTGTTTATGAAGGATTTGTTTTGGACTTAATTTGGACTAAGCTGAGAATGAAGTAATTCTCAGCTGTTCTAATAAAATATGTTTGTTTAGGACTGATTGTGTCTGATAATACCTACTTGGGCCTAGGTCACAACACGGAGGAAGGGAGGGAGGGAAGGATAGAGGGTGATTGGTTGGTCAGATGGATGGATGGAAAGTTGGTGGGAGGGAGGGAGGGAGGGAGGGAAGAAGGGATGGATAGGTGGTTGGTTGGTTGGTTGATTGGATAGATGGATGAATCTGCTTCCCCAAGGGGGCGAAAGGGGTACTTGGCCTTCCAACCAGTAAGTTGGACTAGAAGTTTAAGAACTTCTGGTTAAGGAACTCAGGGACTGGATTCAAAAGCTCAAAATTTCACGGGTGCATTTCACATCCACCAGAATAGGTTCTCAGCGACCAGCCACTTAACGACTGTTGCCTAGCAGATGCGCCATTTTAGCTTCTCTGTTCAGAAGTACCTTTTGCTGAAGTTCTTGCCTTGCAGCACAATGCTTACCGGGCATATTAAAGATACTCGGACGCCAGTGGTGGCAATCTCACTCTCTGGATCCAGCCGCAACTTCTCTTTGACTGCAGGGTCGGTGGAAGGGAGTCAAAGGGTGGGGAAGAGAAGACCGAATGAGAACCAAGGAGCGATATGAGGGGTGAGGTTTGGTTGCCCCAACTCCCTTGAAGATCAGAGATGGGACGAGTCTCCTTCTTCAAGGTCACCTCTGGACTGTCCCAATTTTAGGCCACTTGCAAAATTACCGTATTTTTCGGAGTATAAGACGCACCGGAGTATAAGATGCACCTACCTTTTTTGGTGAGGAAAAGAAGAAAAAGAAATCTCCCTTTGCCACTGCGCAATTTTGCCTCCTTGCAGCAAACAGCAAACAGCCTGCTTTACTTTCATTTTCACTTTCAGCATAGCTTGATTAGCACAAGGAAAAACAAATCTGCTCCAGCAATTTACCTCTTTGCAGCAAGCAGCAGAGCCAGTGGTGAAATGTAAAATTTGTTACTACCGGTTCTGTGAACGTGGCTTGGTGGTGGTGGGGTTAATAGCCCTAGTAGCGCAGCAAACTAAAGTACTGTTATTAACATCAGCTGCCTGCAATTACTGCAAGTTCGAATCCCACCAGGCTCAAGGTTGACTCAGCCTTCCATCCTTTCTAAGGTAGGTAAAATGAGGACCCAGTTTGTGGGGGCAATAAGCTGACTTTGTATAAATATACAAAAATATGAAGGCTATTGCTTAACGCACTGTAAGCCGCCCTGAGTCTCCAGAGAAAGGCGGCATATAAATCAATTTTTTTTTAAAAAAATATGACTGAGTGGGCATAGCCAACTTTTTTTTAAAAAAAACAAAACCATTTTTTTCTACAACCTCTTCTGCTGAAGACGTTGTAGAAAAAATGCTTTTAAAAATAAAAAAAAAGCCTCGGATGATTGCACGGCCCAGAGGGGCACGGGGGGGGGGGGGAAAGGCAGGGATTTTTGCTACCGGTTCTCCGAACCACCCACCTCCATCGCTACCGGATTGGGTGATCTGGTCCGAACCGGGAGCATTTCATCCCTGAGCAGAGCCCTGCGCAAAACAGCTGAGAGCAAATCCGCTGAGAGTCATGGAATCAACTTGTGCTAATTAGGCTGTGCTGAAAGGAGCTGGTTTTTTTCTTGCCGTTTGCTTGCAAGGAGGTAACTGCTGGAAGGCAGAGGCCAAAGGGTGGGGGCCAGTGGGTGGGCGGGGCTACATTTAGGTGTATAAGACACACCTAAATTTTCAGGGGGGAAAGGTGCATCTTATACTCTGAAAAATACGGTAAGTGGCCTAAATAGGCCTTAGTTAACCCTCCATGTTAAGCTAAAGATTCAGTTACAGAGAAAAGGGGGCAGAAAGCGATACGGAATGAGAGTTGAACCAACTCACCGAGGGCCTTGCAAAGTTCTGGGTGTTTAATGCCGATGGTTTTTAATCGCTGCAACAATTCTGACGACGTTGTCTGTCGCACCAGGAAGAGGCCCACAGAGTAACTCTGTAAAGAAGAGGGAGAACCAATTCAAATTCAAATCTTTATTGCCAGCGCACAACATACGTACAAGGAGATTGATTGAGCTCCCTCAGTGCACCCCCCCCCTCAACACAATACAACTCACAGCGAAGACAGAAAATCCCTAACCCAATAAATCATATTAACGAAACACCCAGTCCTATTGCACCGGTGTGAACATGTTACACATTGCACCGGCCCTGCAGTCCGTCATACTACGTAGTTATAATGTTATTTTGCATTCAGGAGTCCGACAGCCCACGGATGAAAACTGTTCTTCAGCCTGTTTGTGCGACTGGCTATGCTTCTATATCTCCTTCCCGATGGTAGGAGGGTAAAGAAATGATGATCAGGGTGAGAGTCATCCCTGAGGATTTTCCTCCCTCTTCTAAGGCAGTGAGTCCTAGCGATCTCGTCTAGTGGTATCAGGGAGCAGCCCACGATGTTTAGTGCTGCGCTCATCACCCTCTGTAGTGTTTTTTTCTATCCGCGTGTTCTGCCCCAGCTACGGACCCCAAAGAACGCAGCACACACGAAGTCTGTACAAACCTTAGTTTACTAAAATAAAATCAGTTTTTCAAACAAAGGCTGTTAATTAACTTTCTTAACAGCCTGCAAGAATCCAAAGAATAAATAATCGTAATCTTACTAGGGTTGGCAAAAAGCCCAGAAGCAATTTGCAGAGAACTAAGATCAAGGCACGAAGGAGAGGGAACGAAGTTGTTCCCTGCAAATTGCTTCAGTCGGCATTCCTCCTTAAATAGGCTTTTGTATTCCACCAAGCCGGCCTAGCCTAAAAGGTCTTATGGGTTAGTTTTTTAAATTGTATAGATGTGCGGTTTTAAATTGGGAGGCCGATCGATTTAATTTATTTTAGTTATTTTTAACTTCTATATTATATGTATCTTAATTCCGGCTGTCCACCGCCCTGAGTCCTTCGGGAGAAGGGCGGTATATAAATTTAATAAATAAATAAATAAATAAAATAAATGAGTGACTGTGAGAAGAGCCTCCCGATCCAGGTAGGGTCGCGATTGGTGTACAAGGCGAACCTGTACATTACCCAACTAGGTAACATTATCAATGCTGGAAGGGGGGAGGGGGAGAGGGAGGGGGGAAAATTACTGTGGGGTTCTTGGTGCTCTCTGAACCTGGTGGTTTTCTTGCAGACATCTTGTGACCCAACTAGGTAACATTATCAATGCCAGAAGGGGATGGGAGAGGGGGAGGAGGAGGAGGAGGAGGAGGAGAACAACTGTGGGATCCTTGGAGCTCTCTGAATTTAGTGGTTTTCTTGCAGACATTTCATTACCCAACTAGGTAGCATTATTAGAACTAGAAGGGGATGGGAGAGAGGGGGGAGGAGGACGAGGAGGAGGAAGAGAAGAAGGACAACAACTGTGGGGTCCTTGGTGCTCTCTGAACCGGGTGGTTTTCTTGCAAACATCTCATGACCCAACTAGGTAGCATCATCAGTGCTAGAAGGAGAGGGGATTTGAGGAGGAGAGGGGGAAGGGGAAGGGAGGAGGACAATGATGACAGTGAGGTCCTTGGTGCTCTCTGAACTAGTGATTCTCTTGTAGACGTTTCAGGACCCAACTAGGTTACATCATCAGGGCTAGTGTTGTTTTTACGACTCTAAAAGCCACTTAGAAGTCCCTTGTCACGACTGGAATGCCCAGCGGATTATCACGGGTGACAGAAAACCCAAAAGGTTCGCCTCTCCCAGGACCGATTGCAGAGTCTGAAAAAGCGAATACCCCCACCCCACCGTGTGCCAGCAACTCCAACCCCTGAAATGCAGGCGAGAGGCCTGCCGGTGCAGGAAGCAGGGTAAAACCCTCCCACCCCAGTTTAGCGGACACGATACTCACCTTCCCGTAGTTTCCCCAGATGATGGTGATGCGGTTAGTGGCGGAAGACAGGTACATGAGATGAGTGAGGTTGATGGGACGACAAGGCCTCTTCGGCTCGACCCCGGGCTTGTTGGAAGGGTAGTAGCCCTGGAAAAAGAGAGAGAGAGAGAGGGAGAAAAGGGCTGTTGAGGGAAGGTGATCAGAAAGACTATGCTGGAAATCAGCCAAACAATGGAGGGAGTTAAGGAGGAGACTTAAGGAGAAATCAGCCCACAAAATGCTGGAAACAGTCAAACAAATAGGAGGAGAGTTGGAGGAGATTGAGGAACTACTCTGAAATCAACTAAATAGTTGGTGTTTTGGAGGGGATCAAGCTGAGAATTAATCAAATAGAAGAAGCTGGAAGATAGTTAAATATTAGAGGGAGATATAGTGGAAAATATATTAGAAATTGGAGTAAATAAAATATGCCTTTGAGAGAAATCTGTGTAATATGTAAACTGGGAGAAAAAAAAAACCTAAGGTAAACTGATTTGAGGATAAGGGTCAAAGGATTAAAATTAGACAAAATGTTGTTTTATAAAATATAATAAAAATGGAGTGGTATTGAATTGAAACTAAGAATAAATGGTGATAAAATTGTAAGGTAAACACTTAATAAGAGGTTAGAATATTGTAAAAATTATTTTGATATGACTTGTATAAGATATAAGGTAAAGAGGAATAAAGATATGTTTAGAAGTGTTATGCAGATGTAAAAATGAAAGTGAATTTGAAACTAATTTTGGATAGATATAATGGATTTATATAGATGAAAATGTTAAATTTGAGGAAAAATTGGTTTTTTCTTAAGTTTTGCATTTCGTTTTTATCTTTTTTTTTTCTTTTCTTTTTTTGTTTACTTATAAAAGATGTAATTGAAATTGTGAATTGAGCTTGTGAAAGGAATGTAAGCGTGGTAACCATCTATGACCGGATCGAGATTTTTGCTCTTGAAAGTTATGTTTTATGTTTAAATTTGGAAAAAATAAATAAAAAATATTTACCAAAAAAAAAAAGAAAGAAAGAAAGAACATTGAAGACTCTGCTCTTCTCTCGTGGGGAGGGAATGAGGAGGCCACATCTCGACGATGTGAAGACGGGCATCAGACGCCATAAGGCAGGGGTGTCAAACTCAGGGCTTAGATCTGGCCTGTGGGGCCAGCTTGGAAACAGCAAAGGAGCGGCCTGCGGTGCCTCTGCTAGCAAAAATGGAGCTCGGGGGGGAGGGGCACGCACCGCCCACCCCCCACACTCCGTTTTTCAGCCACAGCGGCCTCCTGCAGTCCTCTGCCAGCAAAAACGGAGCTCCGTTTTCATGGGCAGAGGGCTGCAGGAGGCCGTCCAGGTTGAAAACGAGGCACAGGCAGGCGGCGCACGCCTCCCTGAGCTCCATTTTTACTGGCAGAGGGCTGCAGGAGGTCATCCAGGCTGAAAATGGGGGCGGGGGCGGGGCGGGGAGGCAGCACAAAGGCCCCTGAGCTCTGTTTTTACTGGCAGAGGGTTGCAGGAGGCCGTCCAGGCCAAAAACGGAGCACAGGCAGGCCCCAGATTTATTTTATTTAAGGTGTTGGTGACCACCTTTAAAGCGCTCCATGGCTTAGGGCCAGGGTCCTTACGGGATCGCCTTCTGCCACCAATAGCCTCCCACCGGCCGGTTCGCTCCCACAGAGAGGGCCTCCTCAGGGTGGAGTCGGCCAGACAATGTCGGCTGGCGACCCCCAGGAGGAGAGCCTTCTCTGTGGTGGCACCTACCCTATGGAACAATCTACCCCCAGAGATACGAGTGATCTCCGACCTCCGGACCTTTCGTCGGGCCCTAAAAACTCATCTCTTTCAGTTAGCCGGTCTCTCTTGATTTTATGATTGGTTTTAAATTTTGATATGGATTTTAAATTGATAAATTTTAAACTATGGGCCAAATTTAATTATTTTAAATCTATTTTTAATCGTACTTATGTATAAATGTTTTTATTTTGGCTGTTCACCGCCCTGAGTCCGAAAGGAGAAGGGCGGTATAGAAATTCGAATAAAAAATAAATAAATAATAAATAAATAAATTTATTTAATTTTATTTCTATACCGCCCTTCTCCTGCGGGACTCAGGGCAGTGTACAGCCAAGATAAAACATTGCATATAAAATTTAAAAACAATTTAAAAAATAATTAAATAATTTTGGCCCAAGATTTAAAAACAACCCAATTAAAACCGAATTCAATTAAAACTGAGAGGATGGGATCAAGCCAGCCCGGCTAGATGGAATTGGTGTGTTTTCAGGGCCCGACGAAAAGTCCGGATGTCTGATATCGTGCGTATCTGCCTCCCTGAGCTCCGTTTTCACTGGCAGAGGGGTGCAGGAGGCTGTCCAGGGCGAAAATGGGGCCCGGGCAGCCCCCACGGAAAGGCGAGGAGTACTGCCCAAACTGAATCGGCAGCTGCCACCTTCTGCTCTGAGACCCTTACAAGGAGCAGGTTGAGCCAGTGGAGATGGGTCTCTAGCTAACCTGGATGAAGGAGAAGCCCAGTTCAAACAGACGCGGCCCACCGATCCTTCCGGAGAATGTCCCAAAATGACTTACCGGAACCGAACAATAACTGTGGTTGACTTTGACGGCGATATTCGGGGGATATTGATCTTCCTGAGGGCAGCTGGTATCTGTGTAGCAGATTCTGAGAAAGGAAGCACAGGTTAAGAGAGCGAGATGGGAGAGGGAGCCATGAGCATTATGTAGAGAGTGTAGAGAAGAGCAACAAAGATGATGATGGGACAGGAGGCTAAAACATATGAAGAACAGTTGCAGGAATTGGGTATGTCTAGTTTAATGAAAAGAAGGACCAGGGGAGACATGATAGCAGTCTTCCAATATCTCAGGGGCTTCCACAAAGAAGAGGGAGTCAAGCTATTCTCCAAAGCACCTGAGGGTAGAACAAGAAGCAATGGGTGGAAACTAATTGAGGAGAGAAGCAACCTAGAATTAAGGAGGAATTTCCTGACAGTGAGAACAATTAACCAGTGGAACTGCTTGCCACCAGAAGTTGTGAATTCTCCAACACTGGAAGTTTTTAAGAAGAGATTGGACAACAATTTGTTTGAAATGGTCTAGGCCTTCCTCCCTGAGCAGGGAGTTGGACTAGAAGACCTCCAAGATCCCTTCCAATTCTGTTATTCTATTCTATTCTAAAATATAATAATAGGTGTGTATGTATGTATTTATGTATGTATGTATGTGTGTTTATATGTAGATGATGTAGATGTAGGTATGTATGCATGTATGTACTGCAGGCTAATTCTGCCGACTGCCAGCAGTTCGATCCTGACTGGCTCACAGTTGACTCAGCGTTTCATCCTTCCGAGGTTGATAAAATGAGGACCCAGATTGTTGGGGAGAAGGCTGTGAAGGATTAAAAATCTCCAGTGTTGGAGCATTCACAACTTCTGGAGGCAAGTCATTCCACTGATTAATTGTTCTCTCTCTCGGGAAATTTCTCTTTAGTTGTAGGTTGCTTCTCTCCTTCCTAAGTTTCCATCCATTACTTCTTGTCCTGCGTTCAGATGCTTTGGAGAATAGGCTGTCCCCCTCTTCTTTGTAGCAGCCCCTCATGTTGTTCTGCCCCAGCTCCGAATTCCCGAGAATATTGACACGCACCAACGGTCCTTATCAAATTTATTAAGTAGCAAGAATAAACCAGAGTCCGGCAAAGGTTGGCAACCAGCCCAGAAAACAAGATACGATAAGACTTTTCCAAAAATGCTCTGATGATAATTACAAGTTGTTTCCAGCAAGAAACTTACTAAAGGCGTGTGACTTAAATAGGCTAAGGCCTATTTAATAATAGGCCAATTATCCTCAAGCCTTACTCTCGAGGAGACCTCCTCCTCCTGAGTAGCCACTCCTGCCTTTTGGCAGCCCTGCGTGCCCGAGCATTGAGGAGAGGCTCCTCCACTTCGCTCTCTCCACTTGAAGGAGCCTCTGGAGGTTCTGAAGGCTCTGGCTGAGTCTCTGCCTCTGGCACCACATCCTCTTCAGCCTCCTCGCTGTCCGACGTGAGCGCCGGCTGCGCAGGCTGCTGGCGCGACACCACACCAGCCTCCTCATCGTCGGGATCAGCCATGATCCACGCAGGACGCTGGCGGGCCACAACACATGTATTGGAACACTGCTATCATGTCACCCTAAGTGACACGATAACAGTCTTAAGCACAAGAAGACAAGACAAGAAACAACGGATGGAAACTAACCAAGTAGAGAAGCAACCTGGAATTCAGGAGAAACTTCCTAACAGGGAGGACAATTAACTAGCAGAACAGCTTTGCCTTCAGAAGTTGTGGGTGCTTCATCGCTGGAAGTTTTTAAGAAAAGACTGGACAGCCACGTCTGAAATGGTAGACGGTAGACCATCCAAGGTCCCTTCCAGCTCTAATCTGATTGATTGATTGATTTGAGTCATTCATTGAAGTTCTTGTCTTCATTAGACTAGTTGAGGGATGGCGAACCCTTTAAGCACAGTGCCCAAAGTGGAAGATGCGTGCGCGCGTATCCACATGTGCACACACACCAGATCTCCGGAAACCCGACAACCAGCTGGTTGAGCTGGGACAACGGCACATGTGCCCACAGAGAGGGCTCTGCATGACTCTGGCACACGTGCCATAGGTTCGCCATCACGGAACTACTCACACCAGTTCCTGCATTCATTCACTGGCCCCCACGGAAAGGGCTCGCAAATTGGGCTCCTCCTGGACACACGGCTGTCTTTAGAAGAGCATACGACAGCCGTGGCCAGGGGGGCTTTCTATCAGGTTCGCCTGATAAGCCAGTTGCGCCCCTTTCTAGATCGGGACTCCCTACGCACGGTCACTCAAGCACTCGTCACTTCTCGTCTGGACTATTGTAACGCTCTCTACATGGGGCTCCCTTTGGGGTGCACCTGGAGGCTCCAACTGGTGCAAAATGCGGCCGCGCGGGGGATTATGGGAGCGACGGGGCGCTCCCACGTGACACCTCTCCTGCGCGAGCTGCATTGGCTTCCGGTGGACTTCCGGGTGCGCTTCAAGGTGTTGGTGACCACCTTTAAAGCGCTCCATGGCTTAGGGCCGGGGTACTTACGGGACCGCCTTCTGCCACCACCGGCCAGTTCGCTCCCACAGAGAGGGCCTCCTCAGGGTGCTGTCAGCCAGACAATGTCGGCTGGTGACCCCCCAGGGGGAGAGCCTTCTCTGTGGTGGCACCTACCCTCTGGAACGATCTACCCCCAGAGATACGAGTGATCCCACTTCTCCGGACTTTTCGTCGGGCCCTAAAAACTTACTTTTTCCAGTTAGCCGGGCTGGCCTGATTCCATGTTGGTTTTAACGTTTGATACTGATTTTTAATTGAAATGTTTTAAATTATGGGCCAAATTTCATTTAATTATTTTTAAAAAATATTTTAACTTTTGTGTACAATTGTTTTTATTTTGGCTGTTCACCGCCCTGAGTCTGAAAGGAGAAGGGCGGTATACAAATCTAATAAAAGATAAAGATTCATCATATGTTTTATCCTACAGGCCCTTTATCATCTTAGTTGCTCTTCTCTGCACTCTTTCTAGAGTCTCTACATCTTTTTTATACCATGGTGACCAGGATTGGATGCAGTTTTCCAAATCTGCACTACTCGCCAGCTTGCACACCCATCCCAATCTAGTCTCCCTCTGCTGTCATCCCTGGCTTGACTTTACCGTTCTTCAAACTTGACTTACGGGAGAAAGCAAGGAGTGCCTTCTTCCTCCTCCTCCTCCTCCCAGATAAGGAAGGATAAAGAAGATTTAATGAAAAACAGGACTTGCATTCCTTTTCTGGGAGTGTCGGTGAGCGACTAGAGGCAGGGTGCTCAAACCTGATTTTTATATCAAGAGTTCCTACAGAACAATCTGTAGGGATTCACAGTCATCCAAGGTCACGGTTGTCCCAGGGGTGAAATGTTCCCGATCCAGTAGCGATGGAGGCGGGTGGTTCGGAGAACCGGTAGCAAAAATCCCTACCCCCCGCACCCCCGCATGCCCAGCTGAGCCGCACAATCATCAGAGGCTTTTTTTTTACTTTTAAAAGCATTTTTTCTACAACCTCTTCCGTGGAGAAAATGCTTTTAAAAGTAAAAAAAAAGCCTCTGATGATCGCGCGGCTCAGCTGGGATCGTCAAAGGCTTTTAAAAGAAAAAAACCCTCTGCCAATCAGGCAACTCAGCTGGGATGGTCAGAAGAGGTTGTAGAAAAAAATGGTTTTAAAAGTAAAAAAAAACAACAATTGGCCACGCCCACCCAGTCTCATTACCCCCCCCCCCCAACCCATCCCCCCAGAACCGGTAGTAACAAATTTTAGATTTCACCACTGGGTTGTCCCAAATGTGCTTTTTTCAGGAGGCAACTGAACTTTCTGGTTTTTTTCCCTTAGAAGGCGTTTCGCTCCTCATCCAAGAATTCAAATTCAATTCAAACCTTTATCGTCAGAGTACAACATGGGTGCTATGAGATTGGCTGAGCCTCCCTTCGTGCAATCCCCCCCCCTCCCAACACAATACGACTCACGGCGAAAGACAAAAGGAGAAGAAGAAGCAAAAAATCCCTATCCCACTGAATCCTGCTAACAAACACCCAATCCTATTGCATCATGTGGACCAGGGACGAAATTCACTTACCTTCGCTACCGGTTTGCAAATGTGAGCGCACGCTCGCTCGCTCGAGCCTCCTCCACACATGCGCAGGGAGTCAAAAATGGGATGTGATGATGTCCGGGCAGGTGGGCGGAGCCTCCCCACCGCTGGCGCTACCAGTTCACTAGAGCCTGAATTTCATCCCTGATGGGAATTTATTGCATGTTGCGCCGGCCCCCGCAAGTCAACCGTACTATCTTGTTGTAGTTATTTTTCATTCAAGAGTCTGACAGCCGAAGAATTAAAAATTGTTCCTCAGCCTGTTTGTGCGGCTGCCTATGCTTCTAGATCTCCTTCCCAATGGCAGGAGAATAAAGACGATCTCTACATGGGGCTCCCTTTGAGGAGCACCCAGAGGAGCACCCGGAGCGCCCCTTGAGGAGGAGCTTCTAGATCTTCCCGACGTCAGGAGAATAAAGACGATCTCTACATGGGGCTCCCCTTGAGGAGCACCCCTTGAGGAGCACCCGGAGGCTCCAACTAGTCCAGAATGCGGCCGCGCAGGTGATTACGGGAGCGACATGGCGCTCCCATATAACACCTCTCCTGCGCGAGCTGCACTGGCTCCCGGTGATCTTCCGGGTGCGCTTCAAGGTGTTGGTTCTCACCTTTAAAGCGCTCCATGGCTTAGGGCCAGGGTATTTACGAGACCGCCTTCTGCTATCGATAACCTCCCACCGGCCAATACGCTCTCACAGAGAGGGCCTCCTCAGGGTGCCATCGGTCAAGCAATGTTGGCTGGCGGCCCCCAGGGGGAGAGCCTTCTCTGTGGGGGCACCTGCCCTGTGGAATGAGCTTCCTCCCGGAATACGACTGATCCCGGATCTCCGCACTTTCCGTAAGGCCCTGAAGACGTTTTTATTTCAGCAAGCCGGCCTAGCCTTATTAGGTTTTTTATGGGTTAGTTTTTAATTGTATAGCTTTGGGGTTTTAAATTGGGGGCCGATTGATTTAATTTATTTTAGCTATCTTAACTTTTATATTGTATGTATTTTAATTTCGGCTGTTCACCGCCCTGAGTCCCTAGGGGGAGAAGGGCGGTATATAAATTCAAATATAAATAAATAAATAAATAAAAGAAGGGCTGACCAGGTGTGAGTCGTCCCTGAGGATTTCCTCCCTCTTCTAAGGCAGTGAGTCCTAGCAATCTCGTCTAGTGGTTTCAGGGAGCAGCCCACGATGTTTAGTGATGCGCTCACCACCCTCCGAAGTGTTTTTGTATCCGCGGCTGTCAAGCCAACATACGACACCGTAACGCACTGAGTGAGGACGCTTTCTATGGTGGACCGGTAAAAGGTGGTCACCAGTTGTTGTTCCACTTTGCTTTTTTTTGCAAGACTCTAAGGAAGTGGAGTCTCTGTTGGGCCTTTCTGGCCACCTGGATCGTGTTGATCTTCCAGGTGAGGTCTTCGCTGAGATGGACTCCCAGGAATTTAAAGGAGGAAACTCTCCAAAGTTTCCAAGAAAAGTTAAGAGCCGAGGTGGCGCAGCGATTAGAGTGCTGTACTGCAGCTACTTCAGCTGACTGCTAGTTCGGCAGATCAGTGGATCAAACCTCACCGGCTCAAGGTTGACTCAGCCTTCCATCCTTCCGAGGTGGGTAAAATGAGGACCCAGATTGTTGGGGGGCAATATGCTATTTAGTATACTGTCTTTGGTGTAAGCCGCCCAGAGTCCTCGGAAATAGGTGGCATAGAAATATTATTATTATCATTATATTATTATTATTATTATTATTATTATTATTATTATTATTATTATTATTATTAATAATAATAATAATAATAATAATAATAATAATACACAAAGGGCTACCCCGCTATTTAGAAATTCTAAATTTACCGGATTTGAACATTTGACACTACAAAAACCACCTTACTCGGAACAGCTTACATCCTCCGACGATACCTTAACAGTTCCTTGGTTAGGACTCGAGCTGCTGAGCTATTAACCAGCCTCAAAGGCTGTGAGTCTCACTAAATATTAAATATTAAATAATAATAATAATAATAATAATAATAATAATAATAATAATAATAATAATAAAAAAAAAAAAATAAGAAGCTTCTTCAGCTCTGACAGGATAGTGGGAACGGAAGGATTTATATTCCTTGCAGACAAGAGCACAACTCTCTAAAAGGATGCAAATGTCCAGCTGTCTGCAAGGAATATAAATCCTTCCATTCCCCACTATCCTGTCAGAGCTGGAGAAGCTTCTTGGATGAGAAGCGAAACAGAAAAACAAGAAAGTCCACTTGCCTCCTGAAAAAGAGCACCTTTGGGACGTAGAGAACAATTAAATCTGAACTCAATTCACCCCCTGTATTCTCTAAAAATTTAGAGTTTTGACTCCTGCCTGGGGAAGGGAGCTGGATTTCAAGACCTCCAAGGTCCCTTCCGGCCCCGGATTCTATGATTCAATTTCAGGTCAAGGCTGCCCCCTGGGGGCCGGAAAGGTGTCAGGAATGCTTCCAAATCCATTTGTCTCTATGGCAGGAGTGGGCAAATGTGGCCCTTTTACAACCTGTGGACTTCAACTCCCAGAATTCCTGAGACAGCCCAAGCTGGATGACCTGGATGACTGAAAATCTCCATAGAGCAGGGGTGGGCAAATGTGGCCCTTTTACAACCTGTGGACTTCAACTCCCAGAATTCCTGAGACAGCCAAGCTGTCTCAGGAATTCTGGGAGTTGAAGTCCACAGGTTGTAAAAGGGCCACATTTGCCCACCCCTGCTCTATGGAGATTCTCAGTCATCCAGGTCATCCAAGAAGCTTCTGGATGAGAAGCGAAAGGTCTTCAAAGAAAAACCAAAAGTCCAGTTGCCTCTTGGAAAAAAGCACCTTTGGGATAACCGTGACCTGGATGGCTGAGAATCTCCAAAGTATTTGACTGGCAAACACACCTTTTGTGACGCTTTGGCTCCTGCTTGCACCCCTGCCTTGTTTAAATCCCTTCCTTTCCCTTCCCTCCACCCCCATCCCTGGTTTCTAAGGAAAGAGGGTTAATTAGCACCTTTAGCTTACCTGAGGACAACCTGGACTGATCTCACGCCCGGCTGCAACTCCCTGTCGAATGACAAGAGCACACGCAGATCAAAACCAGAAAAACCACAAGCGATTTAGGCAGATTGGGGGGGGGGGGGGAAAGGAAAAAAAACAACAACCAAGTAACTGAAGGAGTAGATCTGACTTGGTTTTCCCGAGCTGACAATTCTTCGGTCATGCCCTAAAACCCTTCCAAGACTGAGTGGCTGTGGCTCCCGGCATCCCGATATAGTCAGTTGACTCCATCACTGACTATTGGGGGCGAGTCTTTGGCCCCCACTGAAAGGGCTCGCAATCTGGGAGTCCTCCTGGATAGGCAGCTGTCCTTGGAGGAACATCTGACGGCTGTAACCAGGGGGACCTTTTGTCAGGTTCGCCTGATCCGCCAGTTGCGGCCCTTTCTTGATCGGGATTCCCTGTGCACAGTCACTCACGCCCTCGTCACCTCTCGCTCGCCTTGACTACTGCAACGCTCTCTACATGGGCTCCCCTTGAGGGGCACCCGGAGGCTCCAGCTGGTCCAGAACGCAGCAGCGCGGGTAGTGATGGGAGCAGCATGGCGCTCCCATGTAACACCGCTCCTGCGCGAGCTGCACTGGCTCCCGGTGGTCTTCCGGGTGCGCTTCAAGGTGTTGGTCATCACCTTTAAAGCGCTCCATGGCATCGGGCCTAGCTATCTTCGAGACCGCCTGCTGCTACCGATGACCTCCCATCGACCCGTGCGCTCCCACAGAGAGGGCCTCCTCGGGGTGCCATCAGCCAATCAATGTAGGCTGGTGACCCCCAGGGGAGGGCCTTCTCTGTGGGGGCACCTGCCCTCTGGAATCAGTTGCCCCCAGAGATAAGGAGAATCCAAGACCTTAGTGCCTTCCGCCGTGCCCTTAAAACCCACTTTTTCTAGCAAGCCGGGCTGGCTTAAGAAGAAATTTTAAATGTTTTAATTGGTTTGTATTTTTAATTTTGGGCCAAATTTATATATATTTTAATTGTTTTTAATATTTGTATTTCATGTTTTTTAATTCTGGCTGTATACTGCCCTGAGTCCTCAGGGAGAAGGGCGGTATATAAATTTAAAAATAAAAATAAATAAAAAAATAATAAAAAATAAATAAAATGCACCCTTTCCTAGACAGGGATGCCCTCCGTACATGCTCTCGTCATATCTCGTTTGGATTACTGCAATGCCCTCTACATGGGGCTGCCCTTGTGGTGCACCCGGAGGCTCCAACTGGTCCAGAATGCGGCCGCGTGGGTTGTTACGGGGGCTTCCCGTTACTCCCGTTTACACCTCTCCTGCGCGAGCTGCACTGGTTACCGGTGGTCCTTCGGATCTGCTTCAAGGTGCTGGTTCTTACCTATAAAGCCCTTCATGGCATGGGCCCGGGGTACTTACAGGATCACCTTCTGCCTGCCTCCAACTGCCCAGTGCGCTCACATAGGACTGCCCTCCTCCGGGTGCCGTCGGCCAGACAATGTCGGCTGATGGCGCCCAGGATGAGGGCGTTCTCTGTGAGCGCACCGACCCTCTGGAATGGTTTACCCACTGGGCTCCGGATGGCCCCCGACGTCAAGTTTCGATGTCATCTCAAATAAATTGCACTCCCAAACAATTAATCTTTGCTGAAATATTCCATTTATTGAGTACGACAGATCTGGCCCCGACTTCGTTGTAGCCGATACTAACCCTCTGACCCCCAAATCCTTCCCTTCCCTAGATAATATCCCCCTTTCCCTTCCCCAATTCTCATCTCCTCATTGGCCATCTTCCAAGTCAGTCTCCCCAGCTTCTGACCTCAGCCCACAGGAATGTCCCCCTCCCATCCCATCTCCTAGGGGATATTATCTACAGAGAAAATAAGTAGGTGAAAAGTCAAGCCTCGTCTCCTCCTTTTTATGGCAGCATCAGAATGCTGACACCGACCTCCACTCTTTCCGCGGTGACCTGAAGACATGGCTTTTCCAACAAGTTTGCTGATCTGATGGGAGCTTTTAACTTTAATCCTTTGGGGATTTTAATTGAGTATTTTAGTCGTAACTTTACTGTTTTATTGTTTTATCTTTGTGAGCCGACCCGAGTCCTTCGGAGAAGGGCGGCATATAAGTATAAATAAACTAAACTAAACTAAAATCCCAGATTAGAGCCCCCCCCACACACACACACATACACACAACACACACAAGAGAGATGACCCATCTGCCACACAGCCTGTGATTTGGAAGGCGTGCAATTAACTTCGAACAGGTTTGGACAAAGAATCGAGCCCGGCTCCAGAGGGATTCCCAAGACAAACGGTGGTGGAAAGCCCCAAAGGAGACCGCTATACCCCTCGATCAGGAGGGATGGCAGATGTGCTAAACTGCTTCCCGCTGCGGTGACTAGGACTCCGAGGCCCATCAGCCACAGCCCACCGCCAAACAGCGTGAGGATGAGAGAGAGGGGAGTTTCCCGCCACTGACAAAGCCATACATTCAGTGGAGAGAAATATATTTCACGGATGGGTTAGTCCTCGACTTACGGCCATCATTGAGCCGGTAAAAATCGTGCCGGTTGTGAAGCAAGCCATCATCACATGATCGCGTCTGATTTTAGGCCCCCTCTTCTGTGGCAGTCGTTAAGTGAACATGGCTGGAAACCATCTTGAATTGTGGTCATGTGACCATGGGGGCCCTCCACAAAGATCACATGACCTACCTTCCTTCCTTTTCTTTCTTTCTTCCTTCTTTCTCTCTCTCACACACTTTCTTTCTCTTTCTTTCCTTTCTCACACTTTTTATTTTTCTTTCCTTTCTGTTGTTTTTCTTTTCTTTTTCTCTCACATTTCTTTCTTTCCTTTCTCACTTTTTCTCTCACCTTTTTCTTTCTTTCCTTTCTCTTTTTTCTTTTTCTCTCTTTTTCTTTCTCCCACTCTTTTCCTTTCTCACTTTTTTCTTTTTCTCTTTCCTCTTTCTTCCTGTTTTTCTCTCCTTTCTCTATTTCATTTTTCTTTGTCTATTTCTTTTCTCCTTTTCTTTTTCTTTCCTCTTTTTCTTTTCTTCCCTTTCTTCTTTCTTTTCTTTCTCCCTCCCCTCCCTCCCTCCATCTCTCTCTCTCCCCCTCTCTCTCTCCCTTTCAAAACTTCAAAATCCTGGTCGTTTGGGAGTGTCCATTGTGACTTCGAATGGTCGCTAAGCAACTAGTTGTAAGTCGAGGACTACCTGTATGATTGCTGAGGGATACCGAGGTAACCATTCGAAATTGGTCTCTTAGGAACAAAACGCCAATTAGAGAGAACAGAAGTTGTGGATGCTCCATCACTGAAGGTTTTAAGAAGAGAGTAGACAGACATTTATCCAAAATGATATGAAGTCTCTTGCTTGTCCAAGAGGTTAGATTAGAAGACCTCCAAGGTCCCTTCTAACTCTGTTATTCTGTTATTCTCCAACTTTGTATCTCCCATTGGATGCAACCAGGCTTTCAAAATTGCCTGCCAAATTTGCAGGCAAAGAACTTCTCCAAAATGTTGGGAAAAAGAATGGCAGAATCTAGGGATGGAGTTAAAAGAGGGATCATCCTGGAATTCCTACGTAGCCGCAAGCGAACTAAATCCAACCTTCCCTGAATTCCATTGTTCCTTATCTAAATCCTATCAGGTACTAACCATGAGTTGAGAAAATTTCTGTGCATAGGTTGTTCAACAATAAATCAGTTTGATTGGACCTTCACGTGTAGCCCTGGCAGGGGTGAAATCCAGCAGGTTCTGACAGGTTCTGGAGAACTGGTAGCGGAAATTTTGAGTAGTTTGGAGAACCAGCAAAGACCACATCTGGCTGGCCCCAGAGTGGGGTGGGAATGGAGATTTTGCAGTATCCTTCCCCCAGGAGTGGGGAGGAAATAGAGATTTTGCAGTATCCTTCCCCTGCCACGCCCACCAAGCCACACCACGCCCACCATGCCACACCCACAGAACCGGTAGAAAAAAAAATTGAATTTCACCACTGGGCCTTGGTCTTCCATATCTGACAAGATGGGAATGACAGGAAGGAGATGGGAATAAGAGGGGAAGGAAGGGAGGGAGGGAGGGAGGGAGGGAGGGAGGAAGGAAGGAAGGAAGGAAGGAAGGAAGGAAGGAAGGAAGGAAGGAAGGAAGGAAAAGAGATGGGGAATGAGGTTAAGGAGATGTGTAGGAAAAGGAGTCAATTTAGTTAAAAATAAATAAGTAGAGTAAGGCTTCCAGAGTTCTTTTTATTTAAAAAATCCTGCAACTTTCTATGAATTCCTCTGGAGCTTGCAAAGAGAAATGAACAGCAAAAATAAATTTTCTCCCAACCATTTCAAATTGTCTCTTGTAACATCGCTGTGGCTGCATTGCGAGATGAGCAGCATATAAATTTGATAGATTAAATAAGAGAGGGAGAAAGAGAGGGGTGGAGAGAGAGAGATTTCACAGATAAATTATAAATGGATAGATAGGTAGACGATAGCTAGCTAGCTAGCTAGCTAGCTAGATAGATAGATAGATAGATAGAGATAGATAGATAATAGAGATAGATAGATAGATAGATAGATAGATAGATAGATAGATAGATAGATAGATAGATAGATAAGGAAGCAAGGAATGGAAGGAGACAGAAATGAAAAAAGGAAGGAAGGAAGGAAGGAAGGAAGGAAGGAAGGAAGGAAGGAAGGAAGGAAGGAAGGAAGGACAAATGGAGGGAGGGAAGAAAGGAAGAAAGGAAATTGAGGGAGCAAGGATGGAAGGAAGGAAATAAGGAAAGAAAGGAAGGACAATCAGAGAGAAGAGGGAGGAAAGAAAGGAAGGAAGGAAATTGAGGGAGGAAGTGAGGAAGGAATGGAAGGAGCCAGAAGGAAGGAAGGAAGGGGAGATGGGGAAGGAGAGGAAGGAGATGTGTAGGAGAAGGAGTGGCAGAAGCTGAGGGTGGAATTAAAAGAGGGATCAGCTTAGAATCCCTACATAGTCACAAGTAGTTCACTGAATTCTGCTGATCCTTATCTAAATCTTAGCAGGTACTAATTATGAGTTGAGAAAATTCTCTGTATGCATAGGTTTTTAGCAATAAATCAATTTAATGGGGACCTTCATGGGTGGGCCTGATCGTTCACGCCCGACAAAGGGAACATGAGCATTTCCAGCCGCTTCTGTCCATCCTTCCAACCCATCATATCTTGGGCTCCAAAAAAACTATGACCTTTTTGGTGTTCCTTTTGAAATCAGATGGATCTGGTTAAATGGACTTTTTCAGACGAACGTATTTTAATAAAAGGCTTAAAGCTTACCGATCGTGACCTTTGTGAACCTGGGAATGCATCTCATTTTTTAAAAACTCTCGTAGATTAAAACGCCTCTTCTGCTGTTTTCTTGCTTGTCTTTCCCAGGATGGCAATGAATTTGAGTTCCCACCATCCATACAGGCATGGACTCGCTTGCAACCTTCTGGGCCGCTGGTGTCTTTCCTGCTCTTCGTTCTCCAACTCTGCGCATCTCAACCTGCCCGAAACTCACCAGCCTCTTTTCCCGTTGTCCTCTTCGGTCTCTCGGCTTCACCCCTTCCTCGCTGGCGGAAGTGGAGAGAAAGCCCAAGCCGAAAAGAAATTCAGTGGCTGGGGCAGTTCCTGTCCGCAAATCACAGCTTCACCTTGGACCATCCAAGGTCATCAAGCATCATTCCTTGGACTTCTTCCCCACTAGAGGCCCTCATCTTTAGTACTGTGTTTCCCCAAAAATAAGACCTATCCACAGGGGTGGGATTGAAAAATTTTAGCAACCGGTTCTCTGCCCGGTTGCTGGGTAGGCATGGCCATGGGGGCGTGGCCTACTTGGCTTCCTGCACCATGATGGGGGGTGTTTTTGCCCTCCCCAGGCTCCGGAGACTTTCCTTGAGCCTCTGGGAGGGCAAAAATGGCTTCCCCTGGGCTCTGGAGGCCCGCATTTCCGGACTTCCGATATTTCCGGTAGGGCTGTTTATCGCCCTCCAGAGCCTCCACGCAGGCCCTGCACTTACCTGGCATCCAAAACAGGCCGTGTGGAGACTCCTGGGAGGGGCGGGTTGGGCAGGGCCAGCCAGTCCTTGCAACTACCAGTTTGGCGAACCAGATTAAAATTAACATCCGGCTTTCCCGAACTGGCTGAATCCCACCTCTGCCTATCTAGAAAATAAGTCGTAGCTTGATTTTTACACGTGCAGCCAATATAAGCCCTACCCCCAAAATAAGGCCTAGTTAAGACTCTGACCCACTCCGTTGCACCTGGTTGTATGTGGGGTGAGGTGCATGGGTAAAAACCAAGCTACAACAGGGATGGGGGGTGGAGCTTCCCTACGTGCCCCGCACCTGCTTACCTTACCTGCTGCAGCCAGGCCTCCCACACGCCGACACTTGCCTTGCCGGCCCACTTCTTCTGTGGCCGCTTGCTGCCGTTTGTGGAAAGGCCTCTGCAGCCGAGAAGCGAGCTCCGGATTGACATGTGGCCTCCATTTCATTGTCAGAGGCCTTTCCGAAGGTCTCTGATGGTGAAATGGAGCCCAGAGGCGCCGCGTGCAAGTGGTAACAAATGGCCACAGAAGAAGTGGGCTGGCAGCGGCCACATAGGCTCCTGCTGGGCGGGGCTGTCAGTGCCGCTGCCGTGAGGTGAGACAGTGGAAAAGACAT